TTTTATTTATAGAAGTTATAACGACGAACCCACGGATGATGAATTAGATGATCAAAAATCAAATGGATCTATCGGTAGAAATTTTGCACCCGTATTCTTCATATTGGGCGTTGCATTTGCTTTGATTCTTCTTGCGCTTATTAATGTATTGTACCAGCAATATCAAAAAAGAAAAATTAACAATAAATATCACGGAGGAAGATTAAACAATGATTCTGTTTATTTTGCAGTATCAACTGCTAATGAATTTGATTTGAATTAAATCGATGATTCTTCTGAAACTTTTTTATTCACTATCTTCATTTAAAAAAAGATTTTTTTTTGAACTATTGTATAACTTCATTCAATATTAATAATAAAAAATGATGAAGAATTAAGAATGAACTAATAATCAGAAAAAAAATCTTTTCGTCGTGAGGGTGTGGATTAAGAGAAGACACGCATCAACATTTAAATCCACACTCTCAAAATATTTTCATTATTAGAATAACGTCGGTGTTATTTATCATATAAAATCATTTTCAAAGCTAACATTTATCTTAACAGAACTTTTCTTCATCTGTTTTTTTTCTCATTCTTCCTTTCTTAGATATCAATGAGTGGTATAGAAGAAAAATGATAGAATAAAGTAAAAAAAAGTAGAACATATATATTATCTTTTCATAAGTGAAGGTCATCAAATACGTTTTTTGTCATATAATTTGGAATGTATTTCGGGTGGATTTATTATGGAGTCCATCTGGAGGGTGTGGATATAAGTTTCTTTTCTTTACTCCCATTCACACTTACAGAATTAACAGATTTGACCCGACTATTAATTCGTTATTGCGATTACAAGTCTCAATAAATCATTTTGAGAGTAAATGTCAGTTGAATGAAAAAGTTATGATAATAATCACATCTTCACTTAATTTTATTTTTAGATATTTAAAAGAATGGAGCCATTTGTATTAATATGATGTTTGTTTCGAATCTGCAGATAAAATAAACAAATGGACACCACTTCATTGAAAATAACTCATACAATTCCTTCTGAAGAAGCAAAACAAACTATGATTGATATTGAATCTTTAGCAAAAAAAGTTTATCAATCATCCATTGTTCTTTCTTCTAATTTACTTTATCGATGGTATCAACTGAATTCTTCTATGTGGTGGGTAGCTAGAGACAATCATCGTCTTGTTGGTTATATTTCTGTAATTCCACTTAAACATAAAGCTTTTCTAAAAAGTCTTCAGCCTGAATTTAATGAATATACGGATATTATTGATGATGATATCAGAATTTGGAATGATGGATTTGACAAGAATTATTCGTTATATATTTGTTCAATGGTCGTTGATCCCGAGTATCAAAAACGCACGGATTTACCAATATATCGTTTATTAGTTAAATCTTTTTTTGAAAGTATTTTATTTTATGGGAAAAATGGATCAATTGTTACAGAATGGTCTGGAGTTGCCGTGAGTCAAGCTGGATGTCATATTTTACAAAACTATTTTGACCTTACATGTCTAAATAGCGATAATTATTATCATAAGATATACTATGGGAAAACGAATAATGAACATCAACAACAACAACTTCAAAGACTTTTACCAAAATTACAATTATTACATTGTGAAAAACAGTGTGTTAGCTATACACGGAAATCTGTGAATTAGACTTTACGCGGTACATTATTTGTACAGATATATTTTTATGAAAGTAATAATTAGAATAAAATTAAAGTTTACTAATTGTTTGTTTCAATTCCATGGCCATAATTTGAGATATTTTGAATTTTTCGCACTTTTCCAGTTGATGTTGTAATGAATTTGTGAATAAATCTAATATATTTTGGTATTTTAAAGAAAGCTAATTTATTTTGAAGAAATCTTTGAATATTTTCTGATTGACAATGTGAGTTATTTGGTTTTAAAATGGCTAAAATATCTTGAGGGTGTGCATATTAATGTAATTCTCAGGTATACTAGATATATCCCCACACAGATAATTATCCATACATTTATTCGTGATTATTTCGAAAAAAACTCAGTCTTTGATAGACAGTCACACTTGAATAAATCGTCCAAATAAATTAGTTGATGACTAAGATGAAAGAAAAAAATCCCATCGAGCACATGTCATACTTCCTTTAGGTTTTCTTTTGTTTACCTGAGAAAATTTCAATCGTTCTTTTACATGCGTCACTGTGTATCTACTTAGAAAAAACCAACCGTTTACTATTGATATGATATAAACAGAATAAAAAAAGAATAGCAATTACTTTGAAACGAAAAGTGAGGACAAGAAAATTGTCAAGTAAAATTCCAATGATTACAAAACGATTATTTTCGAAAGACGACAATGATGAACAAATTATTATTACTTGTTTTCATCCGGATAATAAAATCGAAGATATGAAGAATCAATTGAATCAAATGAATAATCATGTTATTTTTTATACAGAATTGGAATCATGCATTTCTTTAATTCAATCAATTCAAAAGGAAAAAATTTTCTTGATTATTTTTGATTCTTATGTTTGTGAATCGGTATCTCATATCGATATTTTTCAGCAAGTACATTCAATTTTTATCTTTTATACAAAACCTGAAGACTTTAAATATTTATTTCATGAACAACTGAATATAATTGGAGTTTATCATCGATTGGATTTTTTCTATTCAGCTCTTCAAGAACAAATTAATCTAATAGCTGAACAGTTTTTTCAATGGACATTTTATGATCAAACAAATTTCCTCAAAAGAGATTTATCGAAACAATCAAGTAATTTTCTTTGGATGCAATTATTTCATGATGCGATTTCGTATTTTCCTCATGATGAACAAGCAAAAGAAGATATGATGAATATCTTCCGTCTTTATACTGATGAAAAATTATATCAATCTAATGATGCTATTCAATGGTATTTACATAATTCATTTCTTCAAAAATTAATAACTAAATCATTGCAAAGAAAAGACATCGATCAACTTTATCAATTAAGATATTTTCTTGTTGATCTTATCAAAAATTTAACTCGTGAACATCAACAACTAATTCAATTTCATACAGAAAATGTTGTTATTCATCAACAAATAAAATTATCAAAACATGAATTAAATCATTTCAAACAAAAACAAGGTCAAATGATATCATTGAAAGGATTTCTATTAGTAAAGCAGGATATTGTATTACCACAACGATCAGATTTAATCGATGTTCACTTAGAAATTAAATGTAATCTAAAAGAATATCAGAATAAAAACGAAGTTTTATTTGATTTGAACGCAACATTTCAAGTGGAAAATATTGAAGAAAATGATCAAACAATTTTTATTCAACTAGCTGCAGTTAATTATGGACGAATGATTAAAGAAAAATATCTCACTGATACACATCGACAAATAGAGAATTTAAGTATTCCAATTATTTTTAGTAAATTAATGTGTGATATGAATGAATGGAATCAATCAAGAAAATATCTTCAATATTTATTAATTCATTCAAATGAACAAGATTTACCATGGATTGAATATTTTATTGGTGAGACTTTCTATGAGATTGGACAATTGAATGAAGCACGATTATGTTACGATCGAGCGATTAAAAGTAATAAAATTAATCTTCAAGATTCGGCTGTAGTTCTTTCTGCTATTGGTAAAGTTTTATATTCACAAGGAAAATATGAAGAAGCGTATGATTTTTATCAACAAGCGTTGACAATTCAAAAACAATTTTACCTTTCGGATCACGCACATATTGCTAATAGTTTAGATGATATTGGCCTTGTTTTCGGCAGAAGATTACAATATGATCAAGCTCTTGATTTTCTTCAACAAGCATTGGAAATTCGAGAGAAATATTATGAAAATTTTCATGTTGATATTGCCATTAGTTTGAACAATATTTCTG